AAAATAACCAATTTCCTTTAATTTAAATGTTTTAAAGTATACAATTCTGCATAAACACAAGGCCCTATATGACTGGGCATCCATCAGATAATGAACTTCACATGATGTTTTAACTTGTAAAATCATACTAGTTCCTGCTACCTTGAAGAACTTCTACTATAAGAGTAAAAGGCTGGACAAGGATAGATCCAAGAAAACAAATTTTTTAAAAAACCCCAAAACTTCTCTAAGAAGTGGCTGCCTCTGAGGAGCAGGACTGAGAATGGTAAGGGGGAGAGGAGGGAGGCTGCTTTTCATTACAGGCTCGCTGTAAAACACGGACACGAAAAAGAGCTGACACCCTACTATTCATCAATTAAAAAAGCAAATGAAAGAAAAGATAGCTGAATTCCTATAGCAGGGAGAGAATGAAAGTGAAAACAGAAGTTTAGGAAGAGTTTTCTCACAATAATGGTGTTAATTCAGATATTTATAACTGGAAGAGAGGAAATCAAAATGCTTCTGCAGAGAAATTTATACGACCAAAGATCTGCTGCGTAATTTCTTTCTATCCACCAACAGAGCAATTAGCAAATGAGTTACATTTTTGTAAAGGGTGAAATGCCTAGACACTTGTAGTATAGATCAAGAGCTACTTTTACTATAGTATACCGACCATCTGAGAAAACACAAAGATAGATATGAGATGAAAAACTTTCTCTTAAGTAGGTTCTTATACTAATAGGAGAAAGAGATTACTCCAACAGTTGAAAACTGCCGTAATCATTTCAGTTGACTCAATGAGATTACTAATTCAATTTCTACCATCCAAATGAAGCAGCTGCTAAGCAAAGGAACAAAATATTCTAGCCAAACAATGGAAGCAATAATTATTTTCACACCATTCAACTAATGGACTATTCTTCAAAACTTCACAAGAGTCTGTGAATACCTTTGTCCCATTAGATGAGATGTAATGTAAGATAAAGCCTACAAATATGCAATCAGTGATAGAGTTAAATGTCCAAAGAAACCTCGATCATGTCCAAGCATCACACGGTATTAAAAATAAATAAATAAACAAACAAACAAACCAACCTCCTTCCCAGACTCAAACAACTGTAAATAATAATAGTGTATTTCCTAGGACAGAAAGATTTTCAAACGCTGTGAATGCTACCCTAAATCAGGAAGGGATGTTTTGCCTAGAACCCCAAGGATCAGGGAATGGAGATGCCATGAAACACCAAATGGAACTAAAAAAAACTAACATTGAGAAAGCAATGGTTTACTGAGATAAAAAATAGGTTAATTACATTTGAAAAAAAATAGTTTAATTATTTACTGTGGTCAATATAGCAGTGGGTTTGGGAGCAGAAGGAGAAGCAGAATTAGAGAAGCAGAAAAAGGGAAAGCCACAAAGTTGACAGACACAGAACAGCAAAAAATGGAATAAAGAAAGAAAAAACTGGGCGAGGGAGAAGAGGGTAAATAAGTTATAATACTGATAATAAACTACTCCAGCCACTTTCTTTACTTAGCAGAGGCTGTGGCCTTCAAAATATCACTGGTGCTTGAAAATTCAAATATTAAAATGCTAAGTAACTGCTCTTCCTAAACATGTACTTTTTCTGAAAGTGTGGCCTACAAGCACTTGCACCGCAAACATTTAGGGTAATTATTACAAATGCAAACTGATAAGCCAAACCCTAGGCCTAATGAATCAGAATCTCAGGAGTTGAAGCCAGGTGATTCTCTATTACACCAAAGGTTGAAATTACTGCTTTAAAACATATACTACCAAGTAGATTTTCATTTTTTTCTTTGGTTAGGAAGTGCCGACACCAGACAGATTACGCTGAGGGCCACATGACTTTTAAAGATTTGCCACCCCTAACTTTAGCAGAATTTGCCCAACTGAGTAGCTAAGGGTTTGATGCAGCAAATAGTAACTGTTTACTAATATGTGCTTGGTAGTTTTGTCAAAGGTTCCAAAAGACAAAAAAATAAAACATTTCTCACCTCAAAGAGCTTACATTCTCATTCTTATTGGTGAAGGCACTCCCCTTAAGCTAGGCAAATGCTACTCAGTCTTCAATACTAACAATTCCTAAAGATCCATATACTTCCCTATTTTAAGTTGCAGTCATGTTTTCACCTTTAGGCAAATAGTCTGAACCTGAATTTAACTTCTTGGTGGCTTGGTTCCATTCTTATTTTACTGATGTTACCACACCCTGTTTTTCCAGTAAGAATCTAAGTTTGTGAGGAGAGAGCCTAGGTTTTCTGGCTGTTTCTGTGCTCTCTGTTGCTTAGGACAATGAAAACCACCTTGTGGAGGGTCTGATATCGAACTGGGTTAGAGGACTTGGAGATGTAAGAGATGCAACAGTTACGTGCAAAGTGATTTAAAAAACCAAATTTCAGACCTAAAGAAAGGCAGATTGAAAGTAAATTTCAACCACTCCAACAAAATACATCAAAAAGTTAAAGATTTTGTATTCCCCATTAGTTTCTTAATGTGCCTAGTATGTATAGTCAACTCTCAAAGGAGGAGAGAAGATACGACAAACAAATGGAATGAGATTACTAATTCTGGAAAGGTTCAGTTCAAGAGGAGTGTAATGTTAAAGTTTAGAGACTTGTAGACTTTGTAAACTTATATGCAGGGTTTTACACACACATACACTTTAATATAACAAGGCATCATATTAAACAGTATTTGCCCTCCTAAAAGAACAAGAGATAAAACTAAAGCAGAAATAAACCTGTCTGGCTCTGAAGTTCAAAGTAAATTCCCAACTCCTCATAATTCCATCCCCCTGGATTCATCTTAAATAAGCAATGACACAAACAATGCTTCAACTATGAAAAAATGCTAATAATGAAAAAAAAAAGCTGTTGTAGAAATTAAACAAATGCATCATCTTCTCTGATGAAAAACCAAACTAGTTGGAACACATTTTCAAGATCATTGGTTAATTCATTTGGTACATCTTATTACCAAACTTATCACCAAGCAACTTAATTAAGGTTTTATTTACTCTTAAGGAAACACAGATCATTTCAAACAAAGCATCACTTGTTAGTGTGGACTAGCATGAGCAGCTCCGGGCTGGAAGCCCTGCCATTAGGCACTGCACAACCTTGAGCAAGTCACAAGACCTCTTCGGGCCACTGTTTCTTCATCTATACAAGTGAGGCAGCTGAATGATCTTCAGTGTTTTTCAGTGCTTAAGTTCTTTAAATGGGTAATTCTAAGTTTCATTCTGATGACTCGATCTACACTTATATTCAACCTTATGAAAGGAAAACAGTGGGAAGAAGACTGCTAAGTAAGTCTTTCTGGCCTTCCCTTGCTTCCATGTTTTTTTTTTTCCTTCCCTTGTCCTTGAAGCCCCACTTCAGTCTTCTTCACAAAATAAGAAACTGAAATATATGATCAGTATCTATTTTATTTATACCAGCTGCTTAATTTTAAGAAACTAAATCTTTCTACTTCCCTTTAATAAATAAAATCTTATTTAGTTGTTTGTCCCTAGATTTTTCTCTCATGGGTCACTGGCTTTTAAAAACTTAAAAGAAAAGAAAAAAAAAAAAAAGCCAAAAGTTTCCTTAGATTTTTCACACAGACCAGACTAGAAGTAAATACAGGCTCTACTTACTCAAAGGCTGACTAAACCAGCAAGATGCAAACAAAGATGATAGCAAATGGCTCAGAGCTGAATTGGTAAAATGTCTGCTATGTCTTTCCTGCAAAACCACAAAACTGAGACCTGTTAATATAAAAATCCTTTCCAAGAGTATGAAGTAGTAACTAATTGCCTTTCTATCTTCCCTTTCAGCGGATAGGCCTTTAAGCACTTAAAAAGTCAGTAACAGCAAATTTCCAAAGAACTAGCTAAACATCATTATAGTCAATAATATATGACTTAAGTTTTATTTCCAAATATTTTATTCATAATCCCTGCATATTCAAATTTTACTTGCATTCAAGTTTTAATTTCATAAATAACTTTCGTAAGTAAAATACTACTTCACTCAGCTTCTCAGAGGACCTAGAACTTGAAGGCACACCAGAATATACACTAGCCAAAATTTCGTAATTTCAATGATGATAAATATTCCAGGAAAAGACTAAGCAATCTTTTCTTTCACACAAAAGGTATTACTTTTTTTCTTCAAAACAAGCAAATTTTATCAACAGTATAGAGGGAAGGCCAATATTCTTTACTTTTTCTTTACACACAAATTGAAATACTACATGCTTCCTCAGAAGCCAGCCATGCATCTAAGGTTGTTTCTCAGAATAAGTTTCCAGTGTGAATTATAAAACTTTATTATTTTTTTCTGATACTAAATGAACTGGTCTACTCTTTCTTCCTCTTTATTTAATAATCACTTTTACTTATTATCTATCTAAATGGCTTCATTTTCCTTAAACTTCTATTTAGTTTTCAAAAATTAATGTTATAATTTCATTAATTTAAGAAAAAAGAGGAAAGAACAGTCAATGAGCAATACCTATGACCGAGTTGTCTCCAAACCTCCCTTTAACCAAAATGCCAAAACACCACCACTGCCTCGGAAATTTTTTCTTAACATCCGTATCACACACGCATAGTACATGAATTTACTTAATTGTAACTTTCTAGCTATCCCACAAATACAACTGGATTTTTTTTTTTTTTTAAATGAAAACTTGACTGGTTTGTTTTGTAGTATGAAAAAGAAAGAAAAATCTCCTTTATTCTCAAGTCATACAGGGGGCAAACAAAGAAAACAAATTATGTAAAATATAAAAAAAATGCTTTTCTAAGAAGATCTAAAACTTTCCAGAATTTGAATGCTTTGTTTCCCCCTAGCAGTTAAGTGCAATCAGGCATGTGACTGACTACACACATTTTTTTCAGAGAGTTAAAGAACACATTCAGCCATGTTCTTCGACAGGTAAGAACCACCCTCCGTTTATCAGCTCAGGAAACAGACAGAAGCAAACACACAAACTCATAACAAGTTACCTTCAAATATTCTCGTTCTCTTTTTGTCCTTTGGGCTTGAAAATAAAAAGCAATCCGGCAAGTTTTATGCTGTTAAAATGGCTCCTGTAGATTGGGGAAGTGGTGTCTGTGCTTCAGCCTATGAGTCATACATGAAACTAAGTGTTTCTAAGGGAGGCACGCCCATGTTGCTGTGGACCCAATTATTCTGCTAGGTCAAACATGCAAATCTACAGGTAAAAACAGAGGAGAAGTACAGAAAAAGGAGAGACAGAGAGCCAAGGAGCAAGATCTACCTTGATTAAACCATTATTCAGCTCATGTTAATTACCATAATTTAACATTAACAATAAAATAGAACTCAGGATCTACACAGAAACAAAATTAAAACCGTATGCTGTTTTACAAAATAAAATCTCAACTTTTAAAAATTATATTAATATATCAAGTAAATAAAACTATGAAAAGAAAAAAAGTGTGGGAGGGAATGGAAGGGAGACAGCAAATTTTCTGGCTTTTAGTGTGACAATGGACTAGTGAGTCTAACCAGGCTACTCATTAACCCTTACATGAAAGGGGTACATTGCTATGTAATCTGGAAAAGCTAGCAAACTGCAGTATCAGATGCAGATTTACAAGTCCACTAAACATAAAATCTAGAAAATTCAAAGTTCAGTAGAAAAATAAGTGTGAATTAACCTGGTTTATAAATTTTTTTAAGAATTCAGGGTTAGAAAGGAGCTAAAGTCTAATATAGCATAATGATTTTAAATAGTATCACAAGCTTGATAAAACTCTATTTTAAACAGATTACCAATGCAATCACGGTTCATGATTCTATGCTCCCAATTGATAGCCACCGTTTTCTTTACCAAAATATTCCACAAATAAAAACGTACCATGTGCCAGGCACCCTGCTGCACCATACATGGTGACCCTAAGGTGCCAACAAACGATGTGGACAGTGAAGGTTTGCTCTCCAAGTCATCGTACATCTGACAAGGTGCTCAAGCAGCTGAGATGTTACTGCACTACTTACCCTGTCCCCTGGATGAATATTAATTTATTCTAAGAGCGTAAATTGATCAAAATGGCTTGAAAGCATTACGCACTCTCATAAGTGCTTTACATGACAAAGTACTACTCACTAGACTTCATCTTAATATTTTACAAAAAGTAAATAGGATTTGGCAAAGTTTTCTGCTTCAGTTAATTACTTGGAAGTAATCATTTTGTCTTACTAGAGGCGCAGCTGAGAGGACAAGCTGTCGCTGACTTAGACAGGAACTTCACAAACTGCAACAGAACAGAATGGTGGTGAACCAACTTTCTGCCCGTTAAGTGCCTATTTATTCCATTCTACTGAACACTGTTTGGTTTATCTTTTTACTAAGATAATCCCCATGGTTTAACAAATTATTAATAAAAAATTATGCTAAAAAGAAAAACACATCACTTCTTCTGCCTTCAAATATCATATTTATCTTACGTTAGAGCTCATTTATTTAGAATGACTGTTTGGAGCCCCAAAACCAAGAAAAAAAGGCCCTCTGAGCAGTCACAGGAGATGTTCACTGGAAAACCCCTAAGTCGTTTCCTAAAGCTGAAATTTATTTTAGACCATATCCATGTAAGCCCAATAATTTGATAATCTTTTACCTAATTAGAAATGAAGTTATAGGGGTGTGAAAGAGGGAATAGTGAAAGGATGATGTCACAACAAACAAATGACAGAGTGGAAAGTGGAAAGTGAGAGAAGACTAAAACAAAAACCTATAAAAATCACAAATAAATATAACTTTAAAAGTCCTGGCATCTAAAGCCATCATATAAGGTCAGTAAGTTCTACACACTCCTTGAGTGTATCACCAAACAGTAAATGCCTTGAAGTCAACATTATTATAAAAGACAAAGTGAGAAAAATGTGTGTGTGTGTGTGTGTGTGTGTGTGTGTGTGTGTGTGTGTGTGTGAGAGAGAGAGAGAGAGAGAGAGAGAGAGAGAGAGAGAGAGAGAGAGAAATCTTTTATGGTGTATAGATACCTAAAAGGAGAAGCTTCTGCTATTGAGAACATCCATTTATATAAAGCACTTCATTACTTGATAATGGCAGACATGTGGAAAGTAATTTAAAAGAAGTACTTTTCACCACCGGTATGTAGAAGTAAGAGACATAAAGTGAAAATAAGTACCCTTCTTCAATAGCAACAAATATCTGAGCTATTCCTAGGGAGAAGATTCCAGAGTTGCTGCTACAAATATATTGCCCCTTTGCTCAAGGGTGTCCCTATAAGCATTGTTTTACCACCTATAGAAACTAGATCCTGGTTATATTCACAACCCCAAGAAATCAATCACCACAGAAAAAACAAGTTGGCAAACAGTTCAGCACAGGTTCTAGAGTCACTCTGCTTGGGTGCAAATCCCAGCTATGCTACCTATCTGCTGTGTGATCCTGGGCAATATTTAACCGTACTGTGCCTAACTTTTTTGTTTGTGATTTAGGCTAATAGCACCTACCTCAGAGGACTATAATGAGCATTAAAACCAATGAATGTACTACTATGCTTAATATAAAAAATTTTTACAACTTAAAAATAAGAAAACAAACTAGTCTTTAAAATTGTCAAACAGGTCTGAATAGACATTTCACCAAAAAGAGATACAGATGGCAGAGAAAGACAGCAAAAAATCTCAACATCCTTACTCAACAGGAAAATGCAAATTAAAGCCACAGTACCCGTGCACATCAACAGAATAACTTAAAAAAAAAAAAATTGAAAATACCAAGTGCTAGGGAGGATGTACAGCAACTTCAACTTTCACAAGCAAAGTTGGGAATGCAAAATGGTACAGCCTACTTGGAAAACCATTTAGCAGTTTCTTGTAAACATATACTTATTATACAATCCAGCAGACTCAATCCTAAATATATGCCTAAAAGAAAGGAAAATATATGTCTATTAAAAACAAAAACAAAAACAAAACCTTCTACTGGGGTGCCTCAGTGGCTCAATCAGTTAAGCATCTGACTCTTGATTTCAGCTCGGGTCATGATATCACAGTTGGTGGGATTGAGCCCCACATTAGACTCTCTCCCTCTCTCAAAAATAAATGAACATTTAAAACAACAACAAAAACTTCTACTTAAATATTTATAGAAATTTTATTCAGAATTACCAAATCCTGGAAACCCAAATGTCCATCAACTGGAGAACAGTTAAACACATTGTGGTACATCCATACAATGGGATATTATTAGCAGTAACTTTCGAAATACAGCTACCACATGGATAAATCTAAAAGCATTAGGGAGTGAAATAAGCCTAACTCAAAATATATACTATATGACTCCACTTACACGATGTTCTGGAAAAGGCAAAACAAAAAGGGCAGAATTCCTATCAGTGGCTGCCAGGGGTTAGGAATGAGGGGGAGAGACTGACTACAAAGGGGAACAAGGAAACCATTTGGAGTGATGGAAGCATTCTGTATAGGGATTGTGGTATTGGTTCTATGACCTATATATGTTGTCAAAAATCATAGAACTGTACAACTAAATAGGGCAAATTGCACTGTACATAAAAAATAGCTCAATAAACCTGACTTCAAAAAGAAACTAGTTCATGTGTAATATAGTTATTAATATTGAACTGAGCACTAAGTAAACACTTTATAAACATTAATTTAATATTATGCTTCTTAGTAGAAGCAATCAGTATCAAATAGTTCAGGATGAGAAAGGTTAAGTCTTTAAACTTTTATATAAATAAAATGTGGCATCTTAGGCTTGTGATGCAAATATATTATACTTGTACATACAGTTGATGTCTATTTCTATAATTAGATCTGTATCAAGTCAGTATATACCTTAATACAAAGCTGTCATGGCTACTTGGAGGAATTTTCAGCATTTATATTTGAACTATTAGTTTAGCAAGATTAGGTCAATTAAATGAATTGAATGCAGCTAAACTTAGGACACTGTAAATTTCTTTCTTTAAAATACAACTTATAAAAAGAATTTACAATGCAAGCAAGGACTCTCTTCTTTCCTTTCATTGTTACTGCTTCTCTTTGAACTCAAATGTGAAAAATCCCAGTATCTGAAAATATTAAACAGTCTCATGCTGATATCTAGAATACCTGGGCTTTAAAAAAAGGCTTGCTCTGAATCTGTCCCCTCGTTCAGGAGCCAACAGGAGAGATGGAAGAAGCATGCAAAGATCAAATCATTAAAATGATAAATGACCAAAATCACTATTCTCTACTACTTATTTTTTTATTTATTTTGCGAGTGAGAGAGAGCACAAGTGGGGAGGGGCGCAGAGACAGAGAAAGAGAGAGAGAGAGAGAGAGAGAGAGAGAGAGAGAGAGAGAGAGACAGAGAGAGAGAGAGACAGAGAGAGAGAGAGAGAATCCCAGGTAGGCTCCAAACTGTCAGTGCAGAGCCTGAGGCAGGGCTCAAATTCACAAACTGTGAAATCATGACTTGAGCCAAAGTCAGATGCTTAACTGAGCACCCCAGGCACCTGTCTCCACTATTTAAATATAAAAAAAAATTTTTTTTTTAAGACTGGGATTCAGTGTTCTAAATATTTCAGTGGGAAAGGATTCTCAAAGTATAATCCCAGGTTCTGAACAACATGCAGCATTTCCAAATGTGACCTTAAATGTCAAACATAGTTAATTCTCTATCATCTATCACTAGTGGGTTAAAACAAGGCCTCCTTTCCTGTTTCTGCACCCATTATTAAGTAGGACACATCCATAAGGAACATTCTCCTGGACAAGCGTCTGTGTGTTTTAAAAGGCACACCAAAGTCAAAAGGGGCCATCGCAGCGCCTGGGTGGCTCAGTGGATCGAAGGCTGACTTCAGCTCAGGTCATGATCTCACAGTTAGTGAGTTCAAGCCCACTGTCAGGCTCTGTGCTTATAGCTCAGAGCCCGACGCGGGGCTCGAACTCACGGACCGCGAGATCGTGACCTGGCTGAAGTCGGACGCTTAACCGACTGCGCCACCCAGGCGCCCCCCAAAAAAATTTTTTTTAAGAGGGGACCAGGCTTTGGCTGGTTTTGTTTACTAATGTATTCCTATCATTAAGACAGGGCCTAACACACAGCAGAAA